GTATCATTTATACGGCGGTAGCTAGGCCTCTGATTCTTATTCAATACCATTCATGCAACATTCCATTTCTACTATAATTTATTGCACCCATAAAATGTGGAATAGCATTTTAATGGACTTTTTGCAGTTTTATTTCACCATGAGTCTTAAAATATTGCATGGAATTAGACCATAAAAATTCGTTATTGGTGAACAGTATCATTGCATACAACCGTCCCTTGATGAAGAGGACATTTGATCTGGTTACCAAGTATTCAAACTTCCACACTACATCACTCATAGAGTTGAATTGGATAAACAGCGATTTCTATTGTTCCTCGAATTTTATATATATATATTGAAATAAGCCTCGAACCCGTTAGCGATACCACCCCATACCGTATGAACCGTAAAATCCGGCGTATAATGCGCACTTTTAACACAAAAAATATCGAAATTTACAGATGTGTGTTATAAGCCGGGTATAAAAATGATAGCTTCAAAATAACAAAAATGATATGAGCTTTAAAAAAAATTAGACTTCTGCATGATCGGAATACTGTTTATTTAAAAGAAATGACATACCTAATGAACTTAAGGGTTGTAGTTCTAGAAGTATGCTTTTTTTTTCTTCAAAATCCTGGGATGCTCAAACAAAACATTAAAAAAAAAAGAAAAAAGATGCGCGTTATACGACGAATGTACCTAAAAATTAAAAAAATACAGCTTGAAAGTATAGCAGCGGGTTATATACGCCGGGGGAAATTGTCCCATTTATTTTAAAGCTTGAAAAAAAATTAACCGGTTTTAAAATGGATAGATGCTGATTTAAGAACAGTTTATTTACAATGCTCATCCCTTTAAAATCTTATCAGAGTCCTTGTCAGAAATCATTTGCGCATCAATGGATGGGGATTGATTTTTTCGAGCGAAAGTGAAGAGGGAGGTTTGACCCTTTCTCCGACGAGGAAGCAACCGACTGACCACTGGGCCTCGGAGCGCATCGGACTCGTCCTATTTCGGCCAGACAGTTAACTTACTGAAAGGACCGCCGATAAAAATAAATTTTGCTGATGGCAAAACCAGATGAAGAGGAAAAATACACTGTGGAAAGAAAAACACAAGAAAATGACTTTTCATTTCGGTTAAAAAGAGATTCGTCAATATTTATCTCCTGACGGTGTCGTGGAAGGCATTTTAATATCATTTGAAAATCATTAGTCAAAATATATTAGACGTAAATTGTAACCGAAGAATTTTATTTATTTAAATTTGGATCTAAAGTGAATTCAGACAAAGATTATAATTAAAAATATGAAAGGTTGAATTTCAGATTTCGTTTACTCGTGTTCTGATTATATGTGATAAGGCTTGGATGTAATTTTTCATAGAAACACAGTTATATCAAATCTTGATGAACACCAAGTGTTCAATCTTAATCATTTACAAATACTTCTATTCGAAAAACAGTTCGAAAAGTATATTTTAAGCTTTTATTTTTTTCTCTTCTCTTTATAGGTTAATATTATAATCGCGAAAAAAACTCTTAATTTTCAATAATTTAGAAACTTAATACACATTATGTATATTTATATATAACATATAATTTTTTAAAAAGTGCGATAAATTTAACGCTGCCCTCAATAAACTTATCTTAAAACTACGTTAAAATAAAAGTTGATCGCTATCACTGGGATCATTGGGTTTTGATATTTCAAATAGATTTGTTAGTTTTCATGTGTAACCATGGCAACCGAATGAGGGCTGTCATTTTAGCACGTTTTCTAACCATATCTAAATTTGATTTGACTTTAATTAACCTCCCACTCTCTCCAAAACAAAACGAGAGCTATTGGCATCGGACCTCGTAATTTTGAATCCCGGTTAAGTGACGAGAGACAGCTAAGATGGCACATTACTCTCTAAACTTCCACACTATGCCAACGGGAGAATGTGGCCGTGGTAGTCCAGTGGGCAAGGTAACGGACTCGTGGCTGGCGTGCCATGAGTTCGAGCCCATGAAGACCCGTCGTGTAGGGGAGCGATGCAAATTGGTGTGGTAGTTAGGAGAGAGGGGTGCCCAAAAAGGGGTGGCTCAAAATTACGGACCACGTAATTTTGAACCATGGTCAAGTGACGTGTACGACACCTGAGCTTACCCCAGTCGAACCTAGTCCCTACGGCACCCCAGTCAGCGTCGCTAACCTCTATACCGGTTGGGCGACACACTTCCCACTTCTTTATAAAAGAAATTATCGCTAGTGCTTTACTGCTTTCAATAATTTAAGTTGTTGAAAGGCAAAATTATTTGATATCTATTGTTTTGAAAAATGGGACAAACATTTAACACCTACCAATATTGAATTCAAAATTGTTCTTGGAACTCATGAGTCCATTTCAACCCTTTCCTACAGCGAAATGAGATTGAATAACTAGCTTTTTCCTGCTCTGACTATGCAGGCAGAACTTTCTCGATATCATGTGGAGCATTTCTTATGCAGATAATTTTAGGTGTTCTTTTTCGATGGTGATGACACCGTTTCGTCGTGTTTGTAGAACTAGTTATCCAATCAGATTATGACGGATTTTCGCAATGTTAAGCGGATTTTCTTTCGCTTATCTGTCAATCGTCAGTTACTCGGTAAATATTCGATCTCTTGCACCGTTCTGTTGAAATCCAAATTGATTTTATTGCCGTTTTCTGAACCATTTCTTAAAAAAAATTTCGCATTCTGATGATAGTTTATTTCAAAGTGGATTAACTTATTTCCTTGAAAAATTGGTTATCGCGGTTTCAACTGCGAGACAGTATTATTAGGAGATGAAAGATTTTGCAACGACTTTAGATAAGAAATTGAGAGATAAAATATTTTAT